GGGAAGAGTCTAAACTGGAAGATAGCATCGTTACTGTAGCTCATACCTCTCTGCCTTTTGTGGGTTACTGTTAGAGTTTCTGTAGTTAGAAAGTAGAAATAAGTTTGGAGCGATTACGCAGATCTATATATAGCACCTCTGGGTTTCAATTTTTTCCTAAAGTGTATGGTGTTTAGAGGCACTACATTACAAGAATGTTGTATAGGGCAGCGCTTCCCCTCAGTGAATGCCATCTCTTCTTTCCTGTGAAAAATTGTGTTTGGTAGATCTGCGTGCTAGTCCCTGCACTTTCTGTATGCTTAGTAACAGCATGGAAGAAAGATGCCCAAACAGCATGTAGTAATGCTGGATAACCATGTAGTACTCAGAGACAAAATTTGTCTGCTGATTCGTGATGCATCCAGTGGAAGTACTGCAATCTAATGAGCAGTTTAAGGTTTTCCTTGGAGAGCCTGTTGATGTAATTGAATAGTGCTTACACTTGAATAATTGATAGCGTGTAAGTAGAAAAGGCAAAGAGTGATGAGAGAAAGCAAGACAAACTCACATGTTCCCTGAGGTGTAAAAGAAAAGGCATTTGGAGAGTCAGATGAAGAACATTTCAAAACCCATCTTCATTTTCTTCTACGCTGGTTACAGGAAGGGAGTTTCCATCCATCCTAAGGGCTTGTTTGGGTAAGTATGGGCTATTTTTTAAGGATTAGGAGGATTTAGGTGCTTGGAATTTGTTTTGTTACACATTATTTTGATTAAATGAAAACATTCGGACTTGATTAAATTCGTTTATCTGGAGCTGTTCAAGGTTGTTTGAGTACCTTGAAAACAAATTAGATGATGTAACTACATGGACAAACTGTATATCAGTGGTTTCCTAGCTGCTTTGTTGATGATTTCATGCCCTATTCTTGTGTTTCCAACCCGTGGCAGCTTTATTGGGATTCGTGTTGCAAATGTTCTCCTTTTTCCATACAGTCATCCTTTCAGAGACTCCCTGTGGGGGCATCTTGATGCACCTTCTCCACTTGTCTCATTTTGAACAGTGATACCCACCAAGCTCTGCCAGGCTGGGGGGAATTAAGGCCTTTGGATGCCAGAGAAATCAAAACTTGTTATTACCAATTAATTGCCCAAGGATGCAAAGAATACTTAAAATGTTTGTAATTCCTTAAACCTGTCTCTACATTTCTAAAGGATGGATGTTTATTTTTATTAAGAAATTGTTAAATTTGTTCAATCATATGTTGGCTGATCCTTAAGAGACAGTTGAGAGACTTGGCTTACAGCAGATCTGAATGAAGAATTTGTTGCCTTTCTTAGATCCATTAATACTTACTTTGTTTTGTTTGTAAGATACCCATGTGTGAACTAAAATTTCTTGTCGTTTTGTGCAGACCTTTCTCCACATTTTTATCAGGCTCTGAGCAGCTAGAGGATTTCACACCATCATGGATATTTTTGTTTCCTTTTTTTTTTTTTCCTTTTCAGAGGAAATGGCAACAGCCCAGTGAGAATCAGGCTCCAGTGCGCCCTTTGTCTGAATGCCAGTTGTGAACATACGTGCAAACTCAGCATCTTCTAATGGTCTCTCCCAGCACATGGGTCTGGATTTTGTCAGGAGTGTCGCCTATGCCTCTGGCAGTGTTCAGCCATTCTGTTTGTTTAAGTTCTTTAACCTCAATGACAAAACAAAACAAAGCAAAAAAAACTTTCATCAGAAGTTGAGCTGTTCAAACACACCCTGGCTTTATATCCTGTTCCTATCTTAAGTGCTCCTTTCCCAAGGGCTCTTCGGTCTTTGTTAACCTGAGATTCCCAGAGCCTTGTCAAGGAAAAGTAGCGTTTCCTTCCTCTGCCTTTTTGGAGGCTTACCCCGCTTCAGCTCACTTTTCTCAAATGGTCTCTGTGTAATTCCAGCTCTGGTGAAGTTGTGTGCCTGTGATTTCCAGCACCAGTGTCATAATCAAATGTAGCCCTTTCTCCTGGCCATAAACTACCTGAGGAAACATTGCAATTAGTGTGTGTGTGGTTATTATGCCTATTTAAAATTATCAGGTATTTTATTTCAGTGTGTTTCATTCTTCATTTTTTGTTTTGGTGATTTGTGATGCATCCAGTGGAAGTACTGCAATCTAATGAGCAGTTTAAGGTTTTCCTTGGAGAGCCTGTTGATGTAATTGAATAGTGCTTACACTTGAATAATTGATAGCGTGTAAGTAGAAAAGGCAAAGAGTGATGAGAGAAAGCAAGACAAACTCACATGTTCCTATTTGTTTTTACATGGCCAAGTATAACTTACAATTGTATATTTCAGAATTTTTAATTTTTTTATTACATAATTTTATATTCTCAGAATAGATTTAATGTATTCTCATTTAAAGTTCGTTCCTCATACATTAGGCCAGACCTTCAAGAGATGTAAATCGCTGTATCTGTACATAAATCAGCTGAGTGATTTGCACCACATGATGATGTGGGCAGCTTGCAATTTTTATTTGCTGTTACATGTAAATACTGAGAAATTAAACATTCTTTGTTATTTACCTCATACTAGACCTTTCAATGGCATTTGTTTGCACTTATTTGCACAAGTTATTTGTGTGAATTTCCACGGCAAACAGTTATGAAAAGGGACATGAATGAACTCTTTCTACTGGTATCTTCCTTCACAGTGTTTTTAACACAAACTTTTGTTTGCTTGAAAGCAAAGCTTTTCACATGCCTGTTCGTTACTCGGCGGGCTCCTGCAGGAGAGGAACGCCTGAAGAGCGCCCTGTAATGCAGAGATACCTGTGCAACATGGCCTTCCAGACGCTGACTGCTTTATAGAACAGGAGCTTGAAAGAAAGTAATTTATTTTGGTAGAAATACTGGGTGTATTTACATTGTTTAAAAGCTATATTTTGCACGTTACCTTGTTGCCTTGAGGCCAGAGAGTGCAGGAAGAAAATCTATGGGATAGGCTTCTTGCACTCAAGGAATGCCTCAGTGAGACTATTTCTGTTTGCGTTTGTTTCACTGTACTTCTTTCAAACACTAAATTGCTGTCCCCTTAATGCTACTTTACACTATTTCATTATGCAATGTTACTTTTGCAGGAAGACCACCTTGGCTTTCAACCTTGCTCAGGCAGATCTTTACAAGTACCTAAAATTCTTTGTATGTTGTCATCATTGCAGTAAACCTGCTCGTTCGTGGCTGCTCGGGGGAAACGGTACCAGACAGAGATAGCTGTCATGCTTTAATTACTGCTGGGGTCAAAAATCCTTCGTTTTGCCCTGAAGTAACAGCCGTTCTGTAAGGACGTCTTTTATACACTCAGATAAAGTCCCAACAGTGTTGGGACCCAGAAAAGTGAGGCCTGTGCTGGCGTGGACAGTCTTCCAAAGTCCGCTAGGCGTTTTAGCACAGTGCTACAGCTTGAAGTACTTTCAGGCAGTTTATATGAAATGAAAATATGAGATAAGACAAGAAAAATTTTAAACGTACATTTGCAGAACAGAGTGGAAAAACAATTCTGGCTGTTTACTTTTGTGCGTGGACCTATCTGGCGATCAGGCAGCACCATTCTGGACCCTGTCAATACAGTGTGAGGGTGCTCTGCAACGAGCCGGGCTGATAGCTCTGTTTCTTGAGCACTCTTCCTGGGCCAAGTGAATTACGCAGCTGGGTTGGAACTCCTTACGCTGCTGAATGTACTACTTTGTCTTCTTGCGCCGCACAATACACAGGTTCCTTTTCCAATACTGACATTTTATGGTATTAATAATAGCAATAGGCTGTGGTTGTCCAGAGATTGCACCACTTGGAATAAGAAGCACTAAGTTCCTAATTACCTTGCATTACCTACAGTTTCTCATTTTTATTGTCATTCAGTATAGACTGAGCAATACCAATCTAGCAAAATGCCATAATTCTTGTAAAGTCTAGATTTTTGTTTATTTTTACAGTCAGAATCTTATCTTAAAGCTGACAAATGGATACTGTATGCTATTTCTCCATAGATCTTGGATTTCTGAACAAATGACCTTAGTTTGTCTTGAACAAAAACTTACAGTATTTTTCCTGTTGTTTTTACATCATTTAGTTCTTGAAAATGTTGACAGCTTGGCTAGATTATGGTTGATTATAAAGTCCCACATCATATTTCTAGGAAGTGCTGAACCATGTCTAGTACTGTTTGTATCTCTCAGTTAAGAAATATTTTTCATTCGATGTTGACATTTTTCATGTTTTGTCTGATAATTTATATTGCTGTAAATGTGCAAGTACTATCTGGCGCAGAAGTAATTACCCTTGTCTTTATATTGGAGTTAAAATATTTTAATACTTTGGAATTTGTCTCTGAAATAATTTGAATAGAATCTCTCGATATTTTTATGATCCTCATGGTGGGTATACAAATTAGCTTCTTTTATCTGAGAGATGAATGTTAAGAAAAATCTAGATACTCAGTAAGACATGGTTTTCCAGAGAACAGCCAAGGCTTACAGTGAAAATGGAAAATTATCCCCAGTACTGTCTACTCTCTGGTGAGTTTTTCCCCAGTCTTCCAGGGAAGTGTACGTGGCCCAGGATTTTCAGAAATATGAGGCTGACTAAATTAGTATACCTGTACCAAAGAGTGAATAAGAGGTGCAGTCAGACACTGTATTAATTTAGCATCTTGCTTAGTGTAATGAACTAAAATAGCTGGGATTTCGAAGGGAAGAATATGCTTGCCGTGTTTGTCATGGAGAGAAGATGCGAACCAGGCAGAGGTTAAAAGGAGGGTTTGTCATTTAGGGAAGATGCAAACCAGGCAGAGGTCACAAAGAGGGGAAGGGAAGTGGTTCTACCACAAGGCAATTCAAAGTGATTGTCAGATGGGTAGTCATTCTTCAGATGTCAGAAGAACAAAGGGCCCCAGCCCTATTCCTTTTTCCTCGCCTTCTGTGTGATGTAGTCAGATAATACTAAAGCTAAAGTCATTAACAAAATTTTTCTTTCTCTTTTCATTTCAGTTATTTGCCACCTTCCATGCATGAATGGAGGCCAGTGCAGTTCTAGAGATAAATGCCAGTGCCCTCCTAATTACACTGGTAAACTTTGTCAGATCCCTGTGCAGACTGCCAATACTCCAAAACTGTACCATCATCCACAACAGGTGAACAAGGCTGTAGGATCGCAAATTATCCACTCCACTCATACTTTACCGCTGACGATGTCAGGACAGCAAGGTGTAAAAGGTAACTTTTTTCTTGATAGATATTTTTTCCTTTGGAGTTGATTTTATTAACTAATTTTGGGTATCCAACCAGTAACGATAGCGATCTGTCTACGTAGTTTGAATCTTGACACCACAGCTTGAATCATGAGCTCACCAGAATGACTGGAAAGTATTTAGCTCAGTGACTGAAATGATAAGAAATAACAGTGCTATTGAAAAGAGTTTATAAGTAAATTTACTTCGCTTTACGGTGGAATTTAATGCAGGTTGCAGAGTCAAAGGATAATGCAGGGGGACTTCTTCCAGGAGTGTAGACACATTCAAAAAGAGAATGATTGTGGCTGAACAGAGTCCATAAATTGCGGTATACGTAGGTAGAAAGTTGCAGGCAATTCCGTGGTTACTAGTGGAGGGAAGAGACAGTGCTTTTCAACATTAAAAAAAAAAAAAAATCTAATGTAAAACTAAAAATACAATCCATGTTTATCTTTGTTATGTCATGTGGTAGAGTCCTATAAGTTAATTTTGAGGTGAACTTTTTAATGTAGGTAGGCCATGATATGATTTGGTTAAATAGAACATTCTTTCCAGGTTATATAACAATATCATAGAAAAAAATGGTAAAGATTTCCTACTGTTAATGCTGTGAAGAAGGCAGAGGATCAGAAACAAGAAAAGCTGTAATGTTAATAAAATTTTGCACAGTCAAAGAAAGTTCAGTCAGCTTCAGGTTTCTGTTTCCTCTAATACTTTTTTGTGAGGTGACAAGTTCTGATGACCTTGAAGAGGTGTGTTGAATTTGTTTCCTGTGTGTCCTATGACTCTAGGTGGCATTTTATCTGGGTGAGATCCTGTCCATGCAGAGAGACCCCTGAAATTCAGTTTCACAACATATGAATTAGTGTGAATTTTGTTTGTTTGTTTGAATTGCCAGATTGTTTTTTTTTTTCTTTTTTTCTCGTCAAGGGTAATTTTACAATTACCTCTCCAAGATTGCTATCTCTGAGTAAAAACAAAATGTATGGGGGAAAGATGTGAGGAGGGTCAGTTGTTGGCAACTAGTTCCTGAATAACTTTGCTAAAAGAGGCCAAACTATTTATATGTTTGTGATAAACATAATCTAATGTAATAATTCTGTTTTCAGACAGGGACATAGCTGTGAAGGAAGTGTTGACAGTATACTTCTGGAAACACAATATTTTATAAATGCTTTTAAGTATCTGCTCCACCTTTTCAATGGATTTGTTCTCTAGGGACTGCTATGCAGTCCATTGGGAAATAGTTTCCACTGGCATGTTGGAGTATTAGTCCCTAAAGCTCCCCAGAACTTTTCTGACTCTAAAAAAAAAAAAAAAAAAAAAAGGAGAGTAAGAGAATATAATTACCTAAACATTTAGCAGAGCAGAAATTTATTTCTGTGACTATTTAATTCCAGATCAAATTATTTTAGACAATATGGTGGACCATAAAAAAATTTTAAGTCATAGTTGTTTTTCAGATTTAGAGTTGCTGACTTAAAAGACACAGTAGGTTTCTCATTGCTAAAGAGTCTGACCTCTTGAATATTTTTTTTCCTGACCCTCAAGTCCTCATCAGAACCATCAGCAGTCACAATGCCTTTTCTTCTCTTTCCATGCCCAAATGAAGATGTTGGATTGTGGAGAGAGGAATGTTTCATTTCTTTCAAGGAAAGAATAAAACAATTAATCCTGAAATGGCTGGCAGAAATAAAAATTAATCAGCACATCTAGGCAGTGATCCAAGACCTGGAGAGGACTGTGGTGATAATACTACATGGGAGAAACCAGCCAAAATTTGATGTTTTCAGCATCTGAATATCTCTAGGTGGATTGATAGATTAAAGCAGAGCAATTCAGTGATTTCTTTTGAGGGCTAATATATTCTTTAGATTTATCAGCTGGAGAAACTAGTTGAAGGGATCCCTCTTCGTACATAAAAATGTATGATAGTAAGTTGGGGTGAGTTTTGTTATTCTCACAGCCAGACTACGCTGTCTTGTCTTGCCCTGCAGAACCAGTCAAATAGCCTAAGAAGGGCCTTAACTGTTTCTTTTTGTAACACTGAATCTTTTCCTTGTGGGTTTACCTGTAACAGAACTCATGTCGCATAAATTTTGCTTGAAGGTTACTTTCTGCTACAGGCAAGATCTGAAGAGTCATTAAGGCCCTGCAGCCATATTTTGCTGACTTTCTACTACCTTATTCCTGATGTTTCTGTCTGCAATATGTTGAAGATTTTCATAAATGAAACAATGGAGGCCAGAGTAAAAATAAGTTTGTTTCTTTTAAGGAATTCCTATGTGAGACCAATTAATCCTGAAAGTGTGCCTAGAGAAATGAAAATAATGTGAAAAACCAAAAGTGACTTCTACAAAATAATAAAATTTTAAATCAGCTAAAAGAAATGAAATATGCTTCCTCAGAAGTGGAGTTGTGAGATTGAAATTTTTAAGTAAGAACTGAAAATGCCTAATCAAGTTCCAAAGAATACTCTGGCCTCCTGGAGGCAAGGAGACAATTCAGAAGACTTAACAATCCAGTATGTGTTATAAAGAAAGTATGTCAAATGATATTTGTTGGTTCTTGATGTTTGGAAGGAGTGTTACATCTAATGGATTGGCTGGCCTTGACTAGTCTGTGCAGTACTTGCTGATGAGAGAGACCCAGCCAGACACAGTAAATGCTAACTTTGTTACGCAGCTTACAAACTATAAAACTTTTTACATACCTCTCCTCCCTGCCCCTCCCCAGTAATAATTTGAGTTACATGTTTAAAGGGCATTTTGTGTTTCAATGAAAAGAAGCTTGAGGGTCATAAACAGTTTTGTGCGCATTAATTTGACTGGAGGGTCTCAATCTATATACCCAGACTTAAAACTACAACTGTATTTAAAAACAGAAGTATCTGAAAAACATTTCCTCCCTCTTTATCTGCCAGATCCTGAATTCAAAGTTCAGTGAAGGGAGTGGTGGTTTTAGATGGTTGAGATGCTGGCAAGTGTTGCAGGGGCAAACTTAGAACTTGGCAGGTATATAAAGGTGAAGGGATGAAATCTGAAGCTTTTTCTGTGTTCCAGAGAAAGATGATGGATCTGAAAAAGAAAATAAAGCTTACTATATATCCAAAAATAACCCAGTGGAGTTTGAATTCTGGAACTTTGAATGGGATTCTTATTACACAGTATGACCACAAATATTAATGTCACACCAGCCAATTTGGACTTCCATGTTTATGTAGCGGTCTTTACAATGCTATAATGTCGTTCTTTCCTGTGTGAAGAGTTTTGATTTTCTGCTTTGTAAATGAGACTCTATGCATTCTTTCAGCCTTTTCTCTAACACCCAAATTTGGACTTTGTTTATATTTTGGTCACTTCAAGGCACTGTGTAAAGATTCTAATGTACAAAAAAGAGATATCTTAGAGGTGCCCAAGATCTCTTTTTTGACATATTTTATTACCAATTTTTTTAATGTGTTTTTCCTTCAATTATTTTAGTGAAGTTCCCTCCTAACATAGTGAATATCCATGTGAAACATCCCCCTGAAGCCTCAGTTCAGATCCACCAAGTTTCAAGAATTGACAGCACATCAACGGGACAAAAAGCGAAAGTACCTCAGCCAGGACATCCACAGGTCTCTTACCAAGGTCTTCCGTATCAGAAGACCCAGAAAGGACATACTACTTACACAAATCAACAACCCATTCCTCATATGTTTCCTGTTTCAGTTAAAACTCAGCTTGGGCGCTGCTTCCAGGAGACTATTGGGACACAGGTAAGAAATGTTTACTAAAGCTTTTGAGACAGGTAGCTTTAAAACAGTATCATAAAAGAAAGAAAAAATTCTTCACCAATCACAGGGAAAGGACATATTTGACATTCTTTTCCAAAAGAAAATTCTTGTGAGAATGGACTGTAAAATGTTTTACAAAGTAACATTTTTCTGAACCTCCTTCTCCTTCAAGCTAATGTCTTTATTTGCTGCAGTCTTGTATCCCTGACATTCTCATTTCAGTTTTTCTAGCCGTATCTTCTCCATTTATAAGCTATTTCTCCAAATTAAAAATGATAACTTAAATCCTAGCTCCATCTCTTCTGACTGAACAACTAAGGTTACACCATCTTCCACAGCTTGTACTGTCCTTTGGTTTAATGAGCCTTTTTGCACGTGTATCTCAACAGCCAGTGTTTTTCAAGGAGTTGCAGTTTTCATTGAAATTCCTATTCAACAACTTCATATGTTTTACACTATTGTAGACTAATTTTTTGAATCTATTGAAATGTGACCGTTGAATGGGATAGAAAAATCATGAAAGCCAATTAAGTGTTTGCTAAAACCTTAGTTCAGTTTAAAATAATATGTTCGCATCAGTTTTTACATATGACTATTCAAAATTGCGTATCTTCTTTCAGCTCTTGAAAGCACTTTAATAAGCAACACGGCATTATCATATTTGCATATATATGTAAATATACAGAGAGAGAAAAAAGCGTATGTGAAGAGACTGTAAAAAAGTTAGTAAGACCCTGTTGTTTATTGCTTATCACCTTGTCAAAATTTAACTTTCCAGATCGATTTTTTTTTTTTTTACACTGAATGCACGCCTCAGGCTGAAATTTTATGGGAGGTTTCAGAAAAATCACTCGCTTGTTTTGAGGGATGACATTAAAGAGTTAATATGTTGCTTTATTCAGGCTAAAAAAATAATTTAAGACTGTTTCAATGAGGATTTGGATCGTCTGTATGCTTTGAAGTAGAAACTTAAATCTTTCACAAAGGTCGCTCTGCTTTTGGTCCTTCCAGTAACATGCACCCAAAGTTAGCCAATTTTGAAGCATCTAAAAATATATCTATTTCCAATATATTCCACAAACATTTGTTAGACGTTGGCAGCAGAATTCTCCAAAGATTTCACCTGCACAGAGCATGGTCTGCCTTCCCCCCAAAGGGACAGCACCCATCATCCCTGAAATGCAGGACTGGAGCAAAATGTCCTTTACAAGTGTTTCTTCTAGCTGTCAGTGAATGCTGTGATGCTAAGTGATAGAACTGACAGCAAGGAAATTTTCTCATGGCTCCCAAGAAGCACGCACACACACACGCAAAGGGAAGAGACCTCACTCACAGAGGGGCAAGGAGCTTTGGGGAGGATCAGTGATGGGGAACAGACAGGAGCAGAAGCAGGATGCAGTCAGAAGCAGGGTGAGGGTAATGTAGGTGGCAGATCCCAAGGTAGCGATAGCAATTACCTTCTGGAACATCAAACTGAAATCGCAGTTCCTTAGTCCCGGTCATCCTCTGCCAGCTCCAGAGAAATGACTTTTTTCCTGTAAAATATGTTTCTGTCTTCCTTTCAGTGACTGGCTTCTGCAGAGTATTGTAGCATTCCTACTAGTGACATAATTAACTCTAGTTTCAGAAGTCATTGCTGTGGAAGTAAAGATCCCAAAGCCTGCTCATGCTAGGCCATCACATGAGGGTGTTTAAAAATAATTCATTCTGAAGAATGCTATGGAAGAAGTAAATTTAAATGTCATCATGCCCCAAAAACGTTTCTAGAAGAACAGAGTTAAGTTTGTGTATGGAACGTTAAAGGCTAGTATTCACTAATTGTTGAGTGCTTGATTTGGTATCCACAGTGTTAGTTTATTCTGATGAGCTCTTCGTGCTTGTCTGTTTCAGGAATAGTAAAACCTTAAATTTGTTCTTTGACAAGTGTTGAAGCACATATTCAAATGAAAGTTCATGGATTTTACATGACAAAATGAAGCAGGGCCTGTGTCAAACAACCATTTCTCTATTTCCTAAGAATGGGAGATCTAACAAACATGGCATTATAATGTGCAATCATAAAATGCTGGAAATAATTATGATAGTTAATAGTTGTTTATTATTTATTTGTATTTCTATTTGCACTCATATATAGGGGAAGACAAAATTCCTTCCTCAATCTTAGACTTGGCAGTGGGTGCTGCATCTTTTATCTCTTACTTTTTGTTTGACATATTTCCTGTCTGTTTTCTGCCGCATGCATGAGTGAGGTATTTCAAATGACATATCCAAAACCTGCAGTGTCCTATGCATGCCCCTCACATTACAGTGGTTTTAAAACTAAAACTTACTCATCACTCACCAGAAGACAGTAACGTGCTCCTTTTACAGGGGGAGAAAAGGAGAAATATGCTCGCATTGCCCTTGTGCCTGACTTGGAATCCTACTAAATGCTCAGTCTCCAATTTTTATTATGTTTTTTTCCGTATTCCCCTGGAAAAATGTGTCTTTGCAGTGCTCTCAAGAAAGGGTAGTGCCTCCTAGTGTAGAATAATGCATGTTCTCATTTTTTTTTACAGATTTCATTGGTTCTTTCAGTGTCAGTCTTGGAGAAGAGCATAGTAAGGATTTCAGAGGTCTTTTGTTATTTAATTTAATGGTTCAGTTTAGAACTGAAGTTGTATGGTGGCATTTTGTAGAGCATTCATTTAAGACCTTGCCATAAATATAGATTTAAGTGACTCATTCACCTTTCAAATTTGAACCTGAAATGTCAATATGTTTTTCCTACAGTCAGGCAATGTGTATTATTTATTTGTATGTTAAATAGACCTTGAACTGGGAAAGATGCTTAATTTTTTTTTTTTTTACTCTTAAATAGATCTATTCCAAAAGAATTTGGTTTTCTGTTTCTTTGATATTCACTTTGCTAAATATGACGGTTCTCTTTATTTGTTCAGACAAGCTGCTAAACTGAGACTTCCTATTAGTAGCAATGTGTTGCTCCAGTCCTTTCTGGAGTTTATGCTGGATAATTTTGATAGCCATACTTTTTTCAACAATCATAATGTTTATACATTTTTTTGCAGGGTGGATTGTATATTTGGCTTCAGAAATGTTTTATTCAATATCCTGGGATCAAAGGTGACTTTACTGTCTATAGAGCAGATTGATGGAAGAATATGTGTGTGGCCTCTTGTAGGCAAATCAACCAAGTTAATAAAGACTCTGCTGAACTTACTTTTGGTCCAGGCTAAAAGCACAGGATAAAAACAGTATCAGAATCTCTACTGTGGTTTTGTGTCTGTGTGTGTAACCTCCACCATTCTGTGTTTCTCTCCATCACTTGTTCTCTCCTTCTTCCTTGACTTTCAGCTGGTCTTCAATTACAGGTCTTCTGATTTTAATGCTTTGTTTTTTTCACAACCTTCTGTGGAATATTTTCCATTTCCCAACACATTCTTCCTCACCCCACCTTAGTTAAATTCCTTTAATGTATCTCATTCAAAAACAGTAGTCCTGCAAAAACAGTAGGATAGTTGCTATACTCAAATCCCAAGACAGCCAGGGCATGTTTTCTGCAGTGTTATTTCCAACAGAGCACATAAAGTTAGCAACTGGAGCCACCCTGAACTGAAGCTTGGAGGGCTTCAACTACCAACAGATAGTTGAAGAATCTGGTCGTATTCTTAGGCCTCTGATCACTCCTAATTAACAACATAGAAATTCTTCTAGACCACCTATTCATTTAGTTGCCTCTAGTATCATAAGTGACTATAACCAAAGGCAGCAACCATGAGAAAAGGGTAGTAAAAGGTGTGTGAAAAGATGTCAGTCCACAAACCTAGAAGGACAGGAGAGGAGAGAGAGGGGCTAGAGGAATGAAATTTCCTAGCTTAATTAGAATAGATAAATAAAGATGTATGTTTTCATAAATACATATACACATGTATGTATGTGTTGCTTAATTGTGACTGTTTTCTGAAGTGTCCTCAGCATTGGGAAATAAAGTGGAAAGAGCAACTATAAAAGTAGTATTACTATTTCAATTTTTAAAAAGTAATATAGGAAGCAAATAGTGTTCTGGATGGTTCCTTTTTCTACTCAAGTCAGTTCACTTTTCCTGGCTGCCTCTCTTTTCTGTGAGTAGAATGCTTAGCAATTATTTCTCCTCTGGGAGATGTTAACGATGATTGCTCCAGGATAGCTTACCATGTTACATAATAGCTTACTATGATATGTTGCATGCAAAAGTTGTGGTTCATCAAATACTTTCGTAGTACCAAAAAGATTTTTGCAGGTTATATCATAAACTAGCAGTTAAGCTGCAGGCCAGAAACTTATTGTTGTCATAAAAATATAGAAAACAAACCTTTACCTAAACTTGCACCTTGTTATATAGAAAACGATGTTGAGAAAATAGAGACTTGAAGTTGGGAAACAGATACAATGGAAGCAGTAGGACAAAAATCCCACTTAAGATGGCGAACAGTAGATCTGTGGAGAATACTATGTTACGGTGCCTTCAAAAGCTGGAGATTGGACACGGTGTCCTGCAATGTCCTTTACAGCCATGTAGTCCTGTGTTTTTGAAATCCAAGGAGTCGGTCATCTTAGACCACTGATTCTCAAGGTCCTATTTAGAAAGAAAGCAAAGAAGGAAGATTATGTTTCTCTTCTTCAATGCCTCTTCTTCAGCTGCTTTTCATTTTAATTCTAATAAAAATGCCTTTATTATGACACAGAATATTTTGTTATTTCCCAAAATAATTCTACAGTGTCAGTGGTGCACCTAGTAAAGATTGTGTTGGTAATCTCAAGTCCTGTTAACTTTGCATATGATTACTTTGCATTTAAATTGAGAAAAGAATGCAGATGCCTACTATCTGTCAAAGTTCATATAAAGAGAATTAAGCACCGCGCTTATTTTCCCCCTTAAGATCAGTTTGAAGTGCCTACTAAATATATTCATGTGTTTTCCTATGGTTACTGCATTTCAGTAT